TCATATTCTGGCCACTGTCTGAAGTGTATATATTTAGAAGAACAAATTCAAGAGACGCTGTCTGAGTTAAATTAACTGAAATTGGCAATCAAACTTTTATATAGTGAAATAAATATGATTCATACTGGAAATGAGGTTAGATTTAATCCTGGGGAAACATCATTATCCCCTACATGGTGTAATGTTAATACTAAGCATACTAAATCAGACAATAAAGCAAGAAGGTTTGAGAGTTTACAATCTATTGAACCTGTAGCAACTGTTAATAGATTTGCACCATTACCAAATCTTCCGGACAGTACACCAAAAAGTGATAAAATAATGAATAACCGGAAAAATCAGATACAGAAGTTAAGAAGCCGGCAAAGGACTGTTTNCTGAATGAAATGTTGTGCTCAACATGGCGGCTGCCAAGGAATGTGGCTCTGATAACTTTCGGTATAATTGTGAAGAATCATATTCTGGCCACTGTCTGAAGTGTATATATTTAGAAGAACAAATTCAAGAGACGCTGTCTGAGTTAAATTAACTGAAATTGGCAATCAAACTTTTATATAGTGAAATAAATATGATTCATACTGGAAATGAGGTTAGATTTAATCCTGGGGAAACATCATTATCCCCTACATGGTGTAATGTTAATACTAAGCATACTAAATCAGACAATAAAGCAAGAAGGTTTGAGAGTTTACAATCTATTGAACCTGTAGCAACTAAAAGTGACAAAATAATGAATAACCGGAAAAATCAGATACAGAAGTTAAGAAGCCGGCAAAGGACTGTTTATCCAACAAAGCTGATCTGCAGTTTTCTGCATTTCGACCTGTTAAATCAACATTCGCCGAAGATGAAACAATACATAAAATTCCTACTATCATTAATGGTACGACTAAGACTGGCTCTAATGATGGAACTGAGTTTTCGGAGAGTTATGAACTGCATATCAGTGACTGTGCCTTACACGACTGTGCCTTACGCAGGAAAGCCGGTAACAAATTATCTACTTTGAAAAG